ACTGAGGCCTTGTCGTTTCTCTGAGGCGTTGTGGGTAATGAGGCATTGCGGGTACACTGAGGCATTGTGGGTGCGCTGAAGCATTACAGGTAATGAGGCATTGTGGGTACAGTGTCGGCTTGAGGGTACACTGAGGCATTGTGGGTAATGAGGCATTGTGGGTAATGGAGATCATTGTGAGTGTACTGAGGCCTTTTCGCTTCTCTGAGGCATTGTGAGCCCAATGAGGCATTGTGGATAATGGCGGCCTTGTGGGTACACTGAAGCATTGTGGGTGCACTGAGGCCTTGTGGGTAATGTAGGCCATTGTGGGTACACTGAGGCCTTGTGGGTAATGGCATTGTGGGTGCGCTGAGGCATTGTGGCTGCACTGAGGCCTTGTGGGTACACTGAGGCATTGTGGGTAATGGAGGCATTGTGGGTAAAGTGAGGCCTTGTTGGTTACCTGAGGCACTGTGGGTCCACTGAGGCATTGTGGGTAATGGAGGCATTGTGGGTAAAGTGAGGCCTTGTTGGTTACCTGAGGCACTGTGGGTCCACTGAGGCATTGTGGGTACAGTGAGGTCTTGTAGGTACACTGAGGCATTGTGGGTACAGTGAGGCCTTGTGGGTGCACTAAGGCATTGTGGGTAATGGAGGCATTGTGGGTTCATTGAGGCATTGTGGGTGGACTGAGGCCTTGTCGTTTCTCTGAGGCATTGTGGGTACAGTGAGGCCTTGTGGGTACACTGAGGCATTGTGGGTAATGAGGGATTGCGGGTAATGGAGGCCATTGTGGGTAAAGTGAGGCCTTGTTGGTTATCTGAGGCACTGTTGGTACAGTGAGGTCTTGTAGGTACACTGAGGCATTGTGGGTAATGAGGTCTTGTGGGTAATGGAGGCGTTGTGGGTTCATTGAGGCCTTGTGGATAATGGCATTGTGGGTGCACTGAGGCATTATGGGTACACTGAAGCATTGTGGGTAATGTAGGCTATTGTGGGTGCAGTGAGGCCTTGTGGGCACACTGAGGCCTTGTGGCTACTGTGAGACATTGTGGGTGCACTGAGGCATTGTGGGTAATGGAGGCCATTGTGGGTACACTGAGGCCTTGTGGGTGCACTGAGGCATTGTGGGTAATGATGCATTGTGGGTAATGAGGCATTATGGGTAATGATGCATTGTGGGTAACTGAGGCCATTTACTTGAACACTGCCCAGCCCCTGTGCAAAACCTTCACGGTCACTGATGATGTCATCAGGTCAGCAAAGGATTCTGGGAGTTTTCCCCTCAAAAATTCGCTTTTTTTTTTAACATCAAAATTCGATTTTTTTACCCCAAAAAATCCCATTTTGAGTTGAAAAAAAAAAAAAGAGAATTTTTGGGCCAAAATTTCAAATTTTAGAGGGGAAAAATTGGAATTTTTTAATGAAAAAAATCGAAATTTTGGGGGGAAAAAATGGAAATTTTGGGGGGAAAAATTTGAATTTTTTTAGTGGAAAAATGGGAATTTTTAGGGAAAAAATTGATTTTTTGGTGGAAAAAAATTGAAATTTTTAGTGGAAAAAATTCAATTTTTTGTGGAAAAATTGGGAATTTTTGGGGGAAAAAATAAGAATTTTGGGGAGAAAAAAATTGGAATATTTGGAAGGAAAAATTTGATTTTTTGGGGGAAAAAAATGGAATTTTTTGGTGAAAAAAATCGAATTTTTTGTATAAAAAATGGGATTTTTTGGGGGTAAAAAATGGGATTTTGGTTCTGAAAAAAATGGGAATTTTGGGGGGATTAAAGGGAATTTTTTTGGGATGAAAATTGAAATTTTTGTGGATTTTTTTTTTCACAGGAAACAGGAGGAAAGGGTTCAACAAGTGAGGAAAAAATTGGAGGAAGCTTTGATGGCCGATGTCCTGTCCAGGAGCTGCGAATC